TTATACCCGGCTCACCTTCTCCTGAAACCCTTCTGACTCCCCCACCTTCTTTCTACTCAGGGTGGAAAAGACCTTTCTGTGCTCTTCTCTCTGGTCCTCACTCAATTACCAGTTACTGACTGAGCCTTCTCTGAGATGACCATCGCCCTGGAGGATCTGGGGACCTCAAGATGGCACACGTGCTGATTTAGAATTGGCTGTTCCTCAAGGGGTTGTTTGGGCCCAGCATGGCCACCTCTGTTGCATCTTGTCCAGCCTGGCCCTAGGCACAAGGTAGATGGGTTTTCAAAATAACAACAAGATGCCACAAAGGCGTGGGAAGTGTCAAAGATGATTCCACAATTTATTCCCTAGGCCAAATGACAGCTGTGAAGCCTAGATGTTCTCAGGGGCCTGTGGGAGGAAGTGCCTCGGCTGGTCCCTGCTAGGACAGGGCTGTCACCACCCTGGAAACCCCCACGTCACTGGGCCAGAAGCCAAGATCTAGACCTAAAGGAAAGTCCCTCGGCAAGACCCTGTCACACAGCTCCTGGAGGGTCCGAGGCAGAGGCAGCAGGCTGAGGCTCACTCAAGAGTGGCTGCCAATCTCCAGTTCCAGCCTCTTGGGCCACATTCTCTGAAGTGGGTCAAGAGCAGAGAGGGCAGGGCTGGAGTTGGCAAGAGTCCAGAGGCGGAAGGAAACAAGAAACAATCAAAAAAGAATCAAGCCAGGCCTGGGATGGGCTCCGGCCACGGGCCCAGCAGGCCTCACACTGCTTAGGACTCCAGGGCTGCTGCCAGCTCAGAGTTTCCCTGTGCTCCTACTTTGTGGAGGGACCGAAGCTTCCCAGAGAACCCCATCATTTCTCAGTACCCCCCTTAGAGGATCGCCATGCTTCCTCTGTGACTCTGTTTCCAGGTCCTCATGATCCCAGCCACAGCCCAGAGTCTAAGTCCCCAGGTAGCTGGCAGAGGAGAGGGGCTGCAGCCTGTAGGGAAGAGGGGGCTGCGCTGATGGTCTCTCCACTCTGGGCCAGCCTTGGGGGCAGGGCTTCCGACTTAGTCCCCCAGGGCCCGTGGTAGCTGTGGCCACTGACGAGGGTGATTTCCAGGAAGAAGTGACTGGAAGGGAAGGAAGAGCTGAGTCAGGCCCCAGAGTGGAGGCGGGAGTCCCAGAGCCAGGAGGGTCCAGGCTGAGGACAAGGAATCCGAACGCCCGCTCTGGTATCTCTCTAGCCTGGCCTTCCCTACCTCTCCCTACCTTGCCAAAGTGTCCAGGAGCCCTGCTAGGCGAACAGTGCAGGCCTCAGCAGAGGCATCAGACCCCAACACAGGCCCAGGCTGAAGGGGAGCACTTGCCAGGGTGTCTCAGGTCAGAAATGCAGGCCACCCTGCCTCAGCCTATCCAGATGTAAGGCGGGCATGGTGGAGCATAACTGTAATATCTGCACTCTTGGAAGCTGAGGCAGTAAGATCGAAAGTTCAAGCCCAGCCTGGGCAATTTAGTGACTTAGCAAGACTCTGTCTCAAAATTTAAAATATGAAAGAGGGCTGGTAATGCAGCTTAGCGTGAAGGCCTTGAGTTCAATTCCATTTTATTTTATTTTTTTAATTGAGTTTATTGGTACATTTTAGGTATACAGTACAGTTACATTCATTATTGGGATTCAATTCCCAGTTTAAAAAAAAAAAGCCAGTTGTAGTAACTGAAATCCCTTTTTTGTTTTTTGTTTTGTTTTGTTTTTTTGAGACAGGGTCTCACTATGTATGCCGTTCCCAGACATTCAGCAGAGCCTCCCCGGGGACCCGGCGGCCCTGCCAAGTGGCAACTCGACAATTTGTGTGAGAATGGGTAGAAGGAAGTGAGCATTTGCTAAGGGCAGAGCCTAGGCCAGGCTTAAACCACTCCTGGGTGTGGGCCTGGTCAGTGCCAAGCTCCAGGTGAGGGAGGGATGACGGCAGGCACAGCTTCAGTATCAGGCCGATCTGGCACTGGACAAAAGCTTGCCACAGCCAGGGGCACTGAAAACAGTCTCCGAGTGCAGATGGCAGTTCAATCCTAAGGTGGAGCCCTGGCCACGCAGCCAGGCTGAGACAGAGAGCAGGAGCTTGGCCAGGCTTGGGCGTGTGGCAGCTGTCAATCCCAAGGAGGCCTGTATTACCCACCCACCCAGAACCTCTGCAAAGAGGTTGGATGGTTCCCAGCTGTATGGCCTTGGGCAGGAGCCTGTGGCTTTCCAGCCTTCCTTCCCTGTGACTTTGTGTTTTCACAAGCTCTGAACGGAGTTCCTGACATCCTCCTCTCCCCCAGGACACTCTCTCTCTCTCTCTCTCTCTCTCTCTCTCTCTCTCTGTCATTTCCTAAGGATTGGGGATGGGACTTCCTCTCGGCCCACACTTCTGCAGGCTCAGGTGACTTCATCAGAGTCATTCTAGGTCAGGTAGCAAGGCCAGGTCTCGGTGCCCTAAGCTCCTGTTGCAGTGTTTCATGAACCGTGCTGCCGGTGAGACCTTGTGTTCCCATTAACAAAGTGCGTGGAAGATCCTTGTCTTGCTCAGGACTTGGGTGACCCAATGCTATTCCTGCTTTCACAAGCAAAGTGGCTCAGAAAGGAGAGGTCCTCTGCCCATGGCCACACAGCAGGCCAACAGGATGTCCAGCCCAGTACCTGGTGCGTGGCTGGAGACTCCAACACACTGTTTCCCTCTCTGTAAGATGGGGATAATGATTTGGGCTCTGGCCACCTCACCAGGTCCTCAGGAGGATTTGTGGGGTTTAGGGACAGGAGGTGATTAGTAGGGCAGAGGCAAGCCTGGGGACAAGATGTGGTGGAGATATACCCTTTACCATGAGCTTTTGCTGCTATAACACCACAGACTGGGTACTTTGTGATAAGCAGAAATTTATTTAGGTCATGGTTTTGGAGGCTGGGGTGTCTGAGAGCATAGCACCAGCAAGAGGAAGAGAAGGAGAAGGAGGAAGAGAGACTGGAGATTGTAGCCTTAAGCCCTTTCCTAAAGGGCACTAATGAACCCAGGAGGAGAAGCCCCCATTACCCAAACATATCCACTCAGCTCCACCCCCAGCACTGCTGCATTCCCATTAAGTATCCAGTGTGTGCTTTGGAGGGAATACAATCAAATCAGAGTACCCACCCCCACCACAGCTTGGCCCAGGGCTGTCATTCCTTCTCCCCCGGACTGTTCAGGCCTCAGTTTTCCCTGAAGCCGTCAAGCAAGACCTGGCAGAATCCACCTGAATAATCCTCCCCAGGGAGCTGCGGGAGGAATGGGCAGGCTCAAGATTAAAATCTGAAACAACTTCCTTGTATTCATTTTCCACCACTGCTGGAACAAATTACCACAAACTTGGTATTTTAAAACAACGCAAATCAATATCAGAAGGCCAATGGAGGTCACACTAGGTAAAGATCAAGGTGTCAGCAGAGCTATGTTCCTTCTGGAGGCTCTAGGGGAGGATCTGCTTCCTTGTTTGGTCCAGCTTCTAGAGGGTGCAGATTCCTTGACATGTGGCCCCTTCCTCCATCTCTGAGCTTTTCCACAACTATATCTCTTGTCTTCCCTCCTCCTTCCCCTGTCTCTCTCTCCCTCTCTCTCTCTCTCTCTGTACTGAGAATTGAACCCAGGGCCTTCAAACTGAGCTACATCCTTAGCCCCTTATTTTTTAGTTTAAGACAGGATCTAGCTAAGTCACTAAGTTGCCCAGGCTCAAATTTGAGATCATCCTGCTTCAGCCTTCTGGGAGCTGGGATTATAGACATGCGCTCCTGTGCTTGACTCCTCATCTACTTTTATAGGACCTTGATATCACATTGGGCCCACCCAGCTGCTTCTGGATAACCTCTATTTTAAAGTCAACTGGCTAGACCCAAATTCCAACAGCAATCCTAAATCCCTCTTTCCATGTAATGAAACATTCACAGATCTGGAGATTACAATATGGACATCCTGGGGGCAGGCTTCATTCTACCTACCGTGATCTTTCTTCTCATCCTCCTAGCACCACTGGCTTGCCTGACATCTCCCCCACTTCAGCATCCTTCCCTCTTGTAGGATGCCTTCTAAGTCCTGTCTCCCTGTTGACCTTCCCCATATTTATGCTGTAAGAGGGAACCAAGCATCCTGGGCACACGGTACCCTCATTCTACCTGGAGATGTTACTGAGGATGAATCCAGGGCTACACCCCCAGCCCCACACGGCAAGCTGACCTGTCACGCTCTAGAAGATGAAGTCCCCTTGCTCCTTTACCTCACTCTTCTTAGCACTTAGCCACCTATAAGGGACCCTGGGTTTCTTGAATTTCCTTCCATTGGCTGTGGGTCCCAATCCAGAGCGGACTGAATCTCCGAAACAAGAATGGCACTTGGCCTTTAGTAGATCTTCAACAAGTATCTATTGCCTAACTGAACGGGGCAAAGACCAAGCTTCCCTTCTATCGGTAGCAGCCCGTGCATGGCCTGCCCTTCAGTGTTTCTGGTACTGTGTGACTACACAGGCTCTGAGCAGGAGCCCCACCTCCACTCTGGAAGGCGCCTTCCTATCTGGACAGCAAAGACTCGCGTACCCTGTCCCCCACCCCTCCCCGAGGAGGAGGGAGCTCTCCAAAGCGCCCCTAAATGTATTAGATTTCACGTAGGTGCCTCCACGGCCCCATTCATTTCCGTAGTAGTCCCTGAATATACTGGTGCTCGCGCCTTCGTAGACCTAGCCCTTAAGGGCGGGAGCTGGTCTGATGACGTTCAGTGAATTCTGAAGAATTCGGTCTTTTGGTTGCTGCTCCCCGGCTCCTCTAGAGCTGAGAGCTCCGGCTCCGACTCCCACAGCCCGAGTCCTCCCAGGGTCTCGGACCGCGCTGGTTTGAGCCTTGGGAACCGGGACCCGGTCTTCGCCTGCTCAGAGCGGCTGCAGAGGAGCCTGGGCGGTGCCCGGGGCGTGCCCAACCAGGACAGCGCCTTCATTGGTTCCGCGGGGCGGGGGCGGGGCTTCAGGGCCTCTGTCCGCACTGTAAATTCTCAGCCGGAGACTCGTCCCATTGCGGCGCAGTCCTGCTCCTGAGCTTTTGAGTCCGTGGGTCGACCACAGGTCGCTGGTCTACGCGCCTCACGGTGAGTTCCGGCTGGGATTCTGCAGCCCGCTTGTGGCTCCACGGGGTCCCCAGAGAAGCTCACCTCAGGGGCGACCAGATCCAGCTCGCGAGCTGACCGAGGGACTCACCCTTGGCTCAGATCATTTCGCTGACGCCTCGGGCTCCTTAGGGGTCCCGCCGTACCTCGATACGCGCAGTCCCTCCAGTGAATCCAACGGCCAGTGTGGTGCCGCGCTTCCCGACCCTGAGCTCCCCAATCGGCCCTCCGTTCCACGCCCGCGCCTCTGCCCCATGCCCGGGACCTGGGAGCGTTCGCCCTCCGCGCAGAGTACCCGCCTGGCTGGGGCCGTATTTTTAGCTGGTAGTGAGGTGTTCCGAGCGCCGAGCGCTGGCCCTGCGCCGAGCGGACACTCGGACATCGCCCAGCCCGGGAAGCACGCGGGAGGCTCCTCCCAGGGTGTGGGGACGGGGGCAGGGTCCTCAGTCGCCCCCTTCCCCTGATTATCTGGTTGTACCACCAGTAACTCTCAAGAGAAAAGATCCCTAGGACAGTTCTGTGGTACCTGGATGCGCCTCTCCTCGCGAGCGCTGGCCCTGCGCCGAGCGGACACTCGGACATCGCCCAGCCCGGGAAGCACGCGGGAGGCTCCTCCCAGGGTGTGGGGACGGGGGCAGGGTCCTCAGTCGCCCCCTTCCCCTGATTATCTGGTTGTACCACCAGTAACTCTCAAGAGAAAAGATCCCTAGGACAGTTCTGTGGTACCTGGATGCGCCTCTCCTCGAGGGGCGTCTGCCTAGAGCCGGAGGCGCGCTGGAGACCCGGGTTTGCTCTGAGGCTCCGCTCTGACGCGGGGCGATAGCGGGAGCGCGCGCGCCACCTCGCGACTGCAGGGCCGGGAGCCCTCAGCACCGAGACCTCCAAGACCCCACGGCGGGGGAGCTGTCCCCACGGGCAGCGCAAGAACAGGGAGCACAAGGCGGGCTCCTGGAGGCAGGGATACGGATTGGTTTTGGTTTTGTTGGACACGCTCCCCCAGAGAAGCAATGTTTGATGAACGATTGGAGATTATCTGCTGAATGCCCACTTGACAGGAATGCCTGCGACCGCTGCCCCAGGGGGGTCTATTGTTCCCTGAGCTCTCATATCAATATGGCAGTGGGGTCTCCAGCATCCCTCTGGGGTTGCTTTATAGAGGAGAAAGGTGAAACCCAGAGAAGGGTTTTGGCTAAAGTCATAGAATCCCAAGTGGAGCTGGATTCAAAGCTGGCTCCTGATTGCACATCCTGAGAATGGGGAATGGCCTCCAGGAAATCTCTGCTCTGAGGGAGGTCCAGGGCTCCTATCCAGGGCAAGCTCAGAGAGATGGGATGGCTCCCATCTGCTCCTCTCCCTGCTGTTGGAAGCCACCCCTCCTGTCCCCTACAGCTTTGTCCTAATGAGAGCTCACACTTGCTAGTCTTGACACTGGCAAGTTTTGGTGAGGGGGCCTGGTGGTTTCTTTCATGCTCCCCAAGCAGATTACTGGTTGGCAAGGCCTACTGCCTTGGACTCGCATGGACCAGGCTGGGTACCAGACCACTGCCTGCTCTTGTTAGTTGGATGACCTTGCAAAGTTCCTTGGCATCCTGAGGTTCAGCTCCACGCTCTCTATAGGGCCATCATGACACCCGCAGTGATGTGGCTGGCAGCATTAGCATGGGAAATTGCATGGCAGGCTGGAGCTGGGCTCTGTGGTTGCCAAATCTAAATACTTGGGGCTTGCTGGCTGTAATTCCCAGCTCCCCTGGGCCACTGATGCTGGCTCCACCCTTTCCTTTAGCCTTGGTTTTCCCACATCTGGAATTGGGTGGATACTTCTGGCTCTGAGCAAGACAGCTGTCAGGGATGCTCAGTTTGCTGTGGAAATACTCAAGCTGTCCTGGTGTTCTGGCAGGATGGGGTTGTGAGAGGACCTGTCTGGGTTTGGGGCAAATACCACTGACCAGTCACACAGTCCCTAAGTGAAAAGGATAAAAAGTTATCCCAGGGCTGGGGATTTAGCTCAGTGGTTCAGTAGCCTGCCTTGCAAGTGCAAGGACCCAAGTTCAATCCCCGGTACCAAAAAAAAAAAAAAAAGAAAGAAAGAAAAAAGTTATCCCAGGATGTCTCACAGGACAGGAGGACAGATTGGATATTTGTCAACGTTTGGGCCTGGCATGGTGGACACAGGATAAATGAGTCATGAGCATCTAAAATCTCAGGTGGCCCTCTGACGCCCTTCCCTGCAGCTCCTGCTAAGTTTAGCTGGAACCCACAACTGGAGAGTTCTTTTGATTCTTGTTAAGTTGCAGGTGCTCTAGGAGAAGATGTCTGCCCTCTGAGACTCAGCATGACTGACCTGGGTGTCCGGTCCTGGGTGGGGTTTCCTGAGAAAAGGCCTGCTGGGAGTGGGAGAGCTCAGCCCCTCCTACACCCTCCTTCCTCCTTCCTGCCCCTCATACTCAACTGCCTAGGATAGTGAGGGAGAGGAACTGGCAGATGTCTCCTTTGCTTGACTCCTGGCTGGCCTGTGGGGTGGGGGTAGTGGCTTGAATGCCAGGCCTGCCCTCATCTGCTGGGTGGCCTTGGATGAGTTTCTTTTTTGCCTTTTTTATGCTGATTATACATCTGAGCTCCCATGTATCTGTATCAAGCCAATCATGCCCTCCTCTCCAAGCACCCCAGGAGACACAGGGCATACTTGCTCCATATTTTGTTGACATAGTGCATTTATTCATATGCGTTAAAAATATCTTTATTTCTCCTGACTATGTAAATAATATATGCATATAAATAGCTCATACTTATTAAGACATTGATCCAGGTGTGGTGGTACACACCTATAATCCCGGTTCTCTGAGAGGCTAAGGCAGGAGAATCTACAAATTTTAGCCCAGCCTGGTCAAGTTAGTGAGAACTTGTCTCAAAATAAAGAACAAAAAGAGTTGAGTGGGGATGTAGCTCAGTGTGAAGACCCTAGGTTCAACTTAGCAACACACACACACACACACACAAATTCTGTGTATAAAAGGTCTGAACAAAAGAGGAAAAGCCAACCTGAATTTCTACCACCTAGAGATAACCACTTTCAGCTTTGAACAAACACCCCTTAGTATTTCCATATGCCATCTACACATGTCATATTATAGTAGTGCAACAAGTGTTATAGATCACTTTGAGGACATATTTCCTTCAACATCAGCCCATACCTCCTTCCTGCCCCCAGCCCAGCCAAAATAGTCCATACACAACCCAGTGCTAGTTCCTCATTCTCTCTCCTGTGCTCTTACATAGGACAGAATCACATACAGACCCATATATGTAAGTATTTACACATGCATGTTTGGGGAGATGGGAAAGGAAAGGCAGTTGACGATTTCAATAAATGACATCACCTATGCCATGATTTTGTATTTTGCTCGTCTCTGCAATGCCTCATGGGAATCCTCCAATATATATCTGATATCACAGGGTTGGGGGAAGGAACCCACGGCCCTGTCCATGCTGGGCAAGCACTCTATTGCTGAGCTACACCCCCAGCCCTGATACCTTTAATTTTTAAGTGAGGATCATAGTGAGGTGGTTGTGATGAGTAATCGAGATGTGTTTGCAAAGAGCTCAGAAGAATGCTAAGTACAGAGGCCCCTCTAAAAATATTTATACTATAGCTGGGCGTGGTAACACTAGCAATGGGGTGGCTGAGGGAGATCACAAGTTCCAGCTCAGGCCAGACAAATTAGCAACTTAGACTGTCTCAAAAAAATAATAATAATAAATAATAATAATAAGAAAAGAGTTGAAGATGTAGCTCAGAACATAAACTCTGGATTAAATCCCCAGTACCCCCAAAAATTTATTTTGTACTCCTCATTCCACCATCATCCTTAGATGCTGGGGCAGGAAGGAGGGCCAGAAACCGCATTAGATTCAACTCTTCCCATAAGGAACTCCTAACCCAGAGGAAGAGAAAAGGGAAATTCCCAGGTGACTTCACATACAGGTGAAGTAAGACTGGTTCACGTGGAAGGCGACAGCCATTTATCACTGTTCGCTGAACACTTCCTGCTTGTCCAGCCCTGTGCCGGGTCTGGATGGGGTGTTGAGACCAACTGTGAGTCCCCCACAGTGTGCCACTTACCACATCATGAGGCGCAGCAGATGTGCAGTGGAGGTCAGGGGAGGGTGACCAGTACAGCAGACACCCAGGGAAGAGAGCAGTCCTTTGCTTGTGACCTCAGTTTTCCCACAGGTAACAGGATGTGCCTGTGCTGGTGTTCTACTCTAAGGCACAGTGGGGTCTCTGAGGGCGTGCTTCTTTTGGCAGGCTCCCCCAAAGACAGTGGCCCCAATTGGGCTCCCAACACAGGTACAGGGACCAGAAATGTGACAGTTGCTTCTGATTTTTTTCCTCCTGTCCCTGATTTATGTCTCCTTTGTGTTTCAGCTCTGCAGCCCTGGACCAGGTCGAAAATCCCAAGGACAAGACCAAAGGCCCTTGTTGCCAACAAGATCTCTACTTTTCTGCCTCCAATTTTTAGAAAAGAATTTTCAATTCCAGAGAAAAAGCAACTTTTGTTATCTCAACTCCTTGACTTCACTGGCCTTTGATGTCCCTTTCCTAATTCTGCAGGCCAACTTTGATCACATCTTGCACTCTAGTCTTTAGGTCTCTGGCTAGTGAGTGGTGTGGCTGAAGCCAGTGTTTCAGGTTGAGGGTGTTAAGCAGAGGCAGTGTGAACGGTGGGCCAGGCAGCCAAACCTGGGTAGTGAGGTCACCATGTCTACCAAGGTCCCCATCTATCTGAAGCGCAGCAGCCGCAAGGGCAAGAAGGAGAAGCTACGGGACTTGCTGTCCTCCGACATGATCAGCCCACCACTCGGGGACTTCCGTCACACCATTCATATTGGCAGTGGTGGTGGCAGTGACATGTTTGGGGACATCTCTTTCCTGCAGGGAAAATTTCACCTTTTACCAGGAACAGCTGTAGAGGAGCCAGAAGAGGATGGTAGCTTTGACCTCCCCTTCCAGTTCACCCGCACTGCCACCATTTGCAGACAGGAGCTCCCTGATGGGCCATCACCTCTGCTCAAGAATGCCATCTCCCTCCCGGTCATCGGTGGGCCGCAGGCCCTCACCCTGCCTGGAACCCAAGCTCCACCTAAGCCTCCTCGCCTGCACCTAGAGACACCACAGCCTTCCCCACAACCTTCCCCACAGGAGGCAGGAAGTGTGGACATCTGGAGGCTTCCAGAAGCTGGCTTGCCCCACAATGGGCTGACCCCAGAGTCAGAAGCTGAGGAGCCTTTCCTGTCCCATGCCAGCTCATTGCTGTCCCTGCATGTGGATCTGGGGCCTTCCATTCTGGACGATGTCCTCCAGATCATGGATCAGGACCTGGACCGTATGCAGATCCCCACATAGGACCCTTGGCTGACCAGGGTGCCTGGGCTGGGGTGATGCTAGGAGGCAGGGTGTGGACATGGTCCACCTGTGGCCAGTGGCCAGAAATTCTTAGTGTAAGCCTTTGTTTCCCTCCCTCCTGCCCTCTCCCCTCAGGAACAATGTGCCTCACTGATTTCCCCTAACAACCTGCGGAGGACATGTGCAGATGTCAGTCCCCAGTGTGCCCTCTTCCTACCGTGCCCCATCCCTTCCTCACATGACCAGGGGATTCTGGTTGCAATAAAACATGCTGCCGGGGCTGGGGATTTAGCTCAGTGGTTCTGCCGCCTGCTTTGCAAGCTCAAGATCCCGAGTTCAATCCCCGGTACCAAAAAAAGCATGCTGCTGCCAGTGGCCAAGCAGCCAGTTCCCTTGCCCGGGCTTCCTCCTGAAAGGTGGGCCAGTTTCTGGGAGCCATGGGCTCATCTGGGTGAAGCTCACCCCAGAGGGTTCAGTGATGGCAGGCTCTCCCCTCTCAGCAGGGTTATACCTGCTTCTGAGCCTGTGGAGAGTATGAAGCAGGGACGAATCAACTGTCAGTAGTGGATATGCAGGCACTGATTCAGGTGTCTGGCAAGAGATGGCTGAGCCTGGGTCCAGACCCTGTCCTAACAGCTGGGATCTGCCCGGGGAAAGCTAAGAGTGATGGAATAACCATAACACCTCCAGCTCCAGGGGTCTGAGAGCACACAGAAGGAGAGATGGGCCCAGCCTGGCAGGGATCTGACAACGCTGACCAGTGAATTAGCCCATCAGCAGCTGTTTGTTGAGCATCTGCTATCTATTTGGCATGGCCCAGGATGCAAGGCAATGTGATCCCTGCTGTCTCAGAGCTCACATTCTGTTGGGGAGAAGGATATTAAATGTGTATACAAGTAAGAGACGATTCCTAGCCTGGTGAATGCTAGAAGAAAACAATGCAATCAGAACCCTGGGGAGAGGGGTGCCCCCAGCTGAGGCAGTGGTGTCAGGGAACATTAAGGTGACAGATGTGATTCTGAGCAAGCAAAGGCACTGAGGCCCCAAAATGAAGGACAGAGAACAGCCACTGTGGGAGAAAGTGTGGAGCATGGACCTCTGAGTTGCATCTACACCATGTGAGACTGTTTCTCCATCTCTAACTAGAATCAGTGATACCCACCTTGCAGGGTAGTTGGGAATGTTAAGGATAACTGATTAAGTTCCACATGAAAGGTATTAAAAAAATGGCTGTGACACGTGACACAAGCATTTGGGACTTGGGAAAGGCAGGACTGTGAAGCTGGAAAAGGGCACTGTCAGCTGAGAAGTTTTACTGCTTGTGAGGCTGGAGCGGGGGGATGTGAGACAGGGAAGACACAGTCAGTTTAGAATGTCACCATCTGGCTGAATGGAGGATGGGGGCAGGCAGAGGGAGGGGTACTCAACTGAAGTGGGGGACACAGGAGCAGGACAGGCCAAGGTAGGCTGAGCGCCTGATACAGACCACAAGTTCAGTTCACAGTGGCTGTGTTCTTCCCCTCTTGGCCGTTATCCATCCTCATTTAGACCCCTGAATCCCGGACTCTTTGCACCCCCTTCATTTCTGGCCTCCAGGAAGGGATTTCATATGGAGGCAGAATTTGAGCAGGTGATGCTTTTTTTTTTAAGAAAAAAAACTGGCAAAATGTACAAAAGATAAAATCTACCAAGTTTTTTTTTTTTTTTTTT